GCTGTGAAAGAGGCAATTTGGCTTCAAGGATTGCTAAAGGAGCTTGGTGTTGGACAAAAAAGTATCACAATCTTTTGTGATAGTCAAAGTGCTATTCAATTAGCGAAGAACCAAGTTTATCATGCAAGGACGAAGCACATTGATGTTCGGTATCATTTCGTACGAGAAATCATAGAAGAAGGTGGAGTCACGGTGAAGAAAATTCATACTACGGAGAATCCTGCTGATATGCTGACAAAGGTGGTGACTGCGGTCAAGTTTCAACATTGTTTGGATTTGATCAACATTGCTAAACACTGAAGATTGAAGATGAAGACTAAACCAAAATTTGTTATTGAGAGAGAATTGAAGATGTGGAATTTTGCCAAGGTGGAGATTTGTTGAATATGACAATATCCCACATCGGTTGGGAAGTAAATCTGGTGGGAATTTTTCCCTATAAAAGGAGTCCTAATGTTTAAGATTTAAACACACCTCTCATTTGCCTTCTCATCTTCTTAAGGCATTTGTATCTTCTCTCTTTAGTATTATTTCACTTGTATTTTTGGAGTGGAATAAAATATTGGTTGTGTCCGAGGAAGTAGGCAAAATTGGTCGAACCTCGTAAATTCTGGTGTTCCTTTTATTGTTGCTTTATTGTCTTATTTATTATTTAGTGGCTGCCATATTTTTTGGTATAGTAGTTGTGACTCATTCACACTATATACATTTGGCTTCCGCAACAATTGAAACAGTGAAAGAAAAAGAAAAGGAAGAAGAAGAAGAAGAAGGAGGAGGAGGAGGAGGAAGAAATCACATACCTGTTGCTACTGGTCATATGTTGAAGTTGAAAAGTGTACAAGACTTGGAACCCTAGTCGCCTCTTTCTCTCTGTTGCTGCTAGTCGTATGTTTAATAAAAGAACACCTTTCTTTTTTAATTAAATAGGTTGGCAGGTGTTTAAAACAGAGAAGTGCTCGCTTCGGTCGTCTCGCTTCCCTTTGTCGCTTCTCGCTTTTTAGTGTGAAGCGCACGCTTTTGCCTACTTGAGTCGCTTCATATAGCAGAAGCGGTCATAGGGTCGCCTCGCTTCGCTTCTTACTTTAAGCGAGGAAGCGGCCGCTTTTCACAACGCTGGTGGTGTGTGTGCTAGTTTAAGCCATCTCGATTATTTCGTTGGATACCTGCTATTTCCTACCTAACATAGGTACCGGCTCGTTGTGCCCGCTATGGCTTACGCAGATGGAAGAGATCACCTAGTTCTTTTTTGCATCTATGTGTTAGGATTTGAACTTGAGTTCTCATCCAACTTCGTTGACCACTAAGCCGCACCCTCTTGAATGTTGAAGTACTCCCATATTCATCTGTTGTGGGTGGAAATTGAGGTTGTTTGTATTTCTTTTGTCAAGTTGTGCACGGAGTTTACTTGCTTGGTTGAGGTGCGTTCTTCAAGGCCTTTGCAGGCTGTGTTCATCTGAGGGCAACTAGGTCAAAGTTTTGTGTATTGCTTCTTCTTTGCTGAAACAGGGAGAGCCTAAAGAACACTATCAATTGCTTAGAGGAGGGAGTATTCTTTGCTTAAGTTTTAAGTGGGCATTCAGGAAGCTTTTAATTTTAAAGTATCCTAGGACATGGATGTATGGAGAAAAAGCAAAGACGTCTTTGATGCATTTTATGATTGGCTTATCAGTGCATGCTGATCCATGTAATGGTTTAATGTATCCATATATTTCCACGGAAACCTATGAAAAGATTCCGAACCAAACAGAAAAATAATAAATAGTGTTACAAATTTACTGTATTTTTGTAGAAAAATGAAATCAAGTTTTGAATTTGGTGTTTGAAGGAAAGTTATATCAAACTCATCTCATTTCTATAGTAAGAATTACAAACCAAATTGTCAAAGTCAGCACTTTAGTAAGACTACTATGTAACGGTGCACTGGTCTTAGCTCTGAAACATATTCCATCCCACCAACCTCTAAGATTTTGACATATCGCTTGCTTGTTGAACTAGCATTAGGCAATGAATCTCATGTGTAGCATATTCCTTTATAACAAACATCTGCAAGATCCTTATATAAAACAATTAAGTACCGAGCAAGGTGCTCTCCTTGCTCATGGCTTTCTAAGATGTCTTATCGCACTATAAATGGCTATTCATCTATATTTTTTATTATGCTTCAAGATATTAAATATTTTTGCAGGAAAATGTCAAGACAAAGCATCCTCAGTTGCTATATGAGTCAAAGTTGTATAGAATTCTTCAAGGAGGAAGTAATGGCTTTTCCTGTTTCTTTTTTTACTTTTTCATTTTTAAAACATATCTGCTCTCTTGTCTAGTTTGTAGCATTGTAATTCTAGTACTTCTGTTGTAGCTGGTATTCCAAATGTGAGGTGGTTTGGCGTGGAGGGAGATTACAATGTTCTGGTCATGGATTTGCTAGGACCCAGTCTTGAAGATTTATTTAATTTTTGCAGCAGGAAGCTTTCCCTGAAGACAGTTTTAATGCTTGCAGATCAAATGGTTAATCTTTCGTTTAAATCTTTAAATTTAGCATTTGTAAACCTTCTTAAAATATGTTGGTTATATGGCTATTCTGGTACTGCAGATAAATCGTGTTGAATTTGTTCATTCCAAATCATTTTTGCATCGAGATATCAAGCCAGACAATTTTCTTATGGGCTTGGGAAGACGTGCAAATCAGGTCCCACATTCTTTTTACTATATCTTTTCTTTTATTTCCACTATTTTGTAGGATATTTTTCCATTACCATTTTGTTTTGACTTAAAATGCAGGTTTACATAATTGACTTCGGTCTAGCCAAAAAGTATCGAGACACTTCAACTCACCAGCACATTCCTTACAGGTTAGTTGATTATGAGTTGCTTGTTTGGTGGGATACCAAGTGTTTACAGCACCTTTATTTCTCCTCATCTTTTTTGCTCTACTGGATAGTGTAGTGAATATCCTCTTGCTCCTTTTGTTCTTTTCCCTTAATTTAAAAGCTTTGACTTGGCTTTAGCATTGGAAGCAAACTGATTTGGACTCGACTTAAATCCCCCCACCAGTGAGGACATCATAATGCAAAATACTTTTTTTTTAATGAAGTAAGAATTTTCATTAAAAGGCATCAAGAAGATGCAAGGATTACAACTGCAAAAAGATAGGAACAGCTCCAGGCCATCTGCTAATTATCAGGGTGCTGACAACGTCCGTAATAGCGCAAAATACTTTACCTCGATAAAAAGGGATGACATCATGACTCAATATGAATGTTTATTCAAATTTCTTTTTGAAGTGCGAATTGCTTATTTCATAAGAAAAAGAAATGTTTAATATTTTTCAAATAACCACAGCAGATATAATCCTATTGGCTTCAGTTGAGCGTTATGTAAAGTTACAGCTAGGGTTGTTTTGAGATTTTAATAGGACAATGCAAGATTCTGCTTTGTCTATAATGGGCTATAATACAATATGAAATGTATGATGTGCTCTGCTTGATGAGCACATGTATTCCTACTGAAAGCTTTAATATTATGCTTGGATGGAAGAAATTGGAAGAAAAAGGAAATGAGAGGAGACTAGTGATTGTGCTAAAATCTTGAAAAATACCAGTCCCTCTCGTTCCCTTCGGTTTCCTAAAGAAAACCATGCGATGTGAATATCTGGATATTCCAGCTTAGAATTGTAAGTGCAACAGAGGGCAGCTCATTATTATTCAGAATGTCCTAGAATCTTATGGTGTGAATATTCCAGCTTAGAATTGAAGTACAACAGATCCTTATAATAAAAAAAAAATGAAGTACAACAGAGGGCTGCGCACTATTCATTCGAAGTGTCCTAGGTCTTTTTTTTAATGTTCAAGCACATGCATTATGCATCTAGTATTTGTGAATCCTATTCATGCCTGTTAGCTTATATGCTATTGTCTGGCATTTTGCACTGCAGAGAGAACAAAAACTTGACCGGCACTGCAAGATATGCTAGCATGAACACTCACCTTGGTATAGGTAAGTGTTCTGGTTCTTTAGGCCTGCTTCTTCACTCTTCTGACGGTTGAACTCTGCTGTCTTTTGACTCAATGTCTTAATGTATTATGTTGGTAATTGTAGAACAAAGCAGGAGGGATGATTTGGAGTCTCTTGGATATGTTCTTATGTACTTCCTCCGAGGAAGGTGATTTTTGCTGCAATCTATCCTCTTGTTTTTGTTCTGCTTGTGTTTGACATCTATTTATTGCAGTCTTCCTTGGCAAGGGCTGAAAGCAGGAACTAAGAAGCAGAAGTATGAGAAAATTAGTGAAAAGAAGGTTTCAACATCCATTGAGGTAATTTATTTACACATTTGGTGATTGGATCTTTCTAATTTCTTTATGGAGCCTAAACAGCTGATCTCTGTTTCTGCAGGCTCTCTGTCGTGGTTATCCTACTGAATTTGCATCATATTTCCATTATTGTCGTTCTCTTCGCTTTGAGGATAAACCAGATTATGCTTATCTGAAGAGAATATTCCGTGACCTCTTCATCCGTGAAGGTCTTAAAAAGCTTTTGGAAGCTGTTTTTGGCTTTGTTTGGTAATATACAACTAGCTTTTTGTTACAATTCCGTTTCCTGTTGCAGGCTTTCAGTTTGACTATGTGTTTGATTGGACTATTTTGAAGTATCAGCAATCGCAAATTGCAGCTCCTCCTTCCCGACCTCTTGTGAGTGGTATAACATCTCGTTTTTCGTTCTTCATGTGTGATGAGCTTGAATCTGACAACCATTGCTTTTTATTTTTATTTTTCTAGGGTCCTAGTGCCGGACCCAGCTCAGGCATGCCTCCAGTTATTCCAAATGTAGAAAGGCAATCAGGTTATTTCCCAGAATCCCGCCTCTATGCGTGCTTTTGTTTTTAGACTTGAGCACATTGTCTCTATTTCAGCTTGTGTCTGGCTTTTGCTAACTACACTCAACTACTGGTCAAGTCTCTGTCTCTATTTTTTTCAGAATCTCATTTTTCATCTGCTCTCCTACATTTTTTGCAGGGGAAGGGGAAGGAAGACAATCAGCAGAGCCTTCTCGGAGGAGAAGTTCTGGGCCACTTATAAATGCTGGAAGTTTATCCAGGCAGAAGAGTCCTATTGAAAATGATTCCACGAGCAAGGATGCTATGGTGAGTTTGAGTTATTTGATAAGTAAAACCTTCGTAAAGAGAAAGTAAATTTCAAATGCTAGAGGCCCTGAAAGGCCATTAGCGGGAGATTTGTGATGCTCTGACAATCAAGACTTGTGAAGCTGTTACAGTGAAATGTGTCTTGGTCCAAGTCTTCCATTACTGCTGATAAATTTTCCCAAAGATGCTATAACCTTGGGTAAAGATGGTAGTTCGATATTAACTTAGCTTGCACGAAAACAAAATAGTAAATGGTGTTTTTATGGTTTCAAAGTTGTCAAAATTGAAGTTTACTCTTGTGCTATACCACAAGTCTTCAACCCCCACCCCCNCAAGTCCAGGGACCATGCACAAATTATCAGGTGGACATAGAAGCTCTCCACTTGGCGGATCGTCCGATCCTAGATATGCTTCATCTGGCCGGAATACTTCTGGAATAAAGAACTATGAAACCACAATCAAAGGAATTGAGGCTCTACATTTTGATGACGAAGAGAGGGCTCATTGATTTTGCAAACCCTTTCACTTTCTTGTAAATTTTTTTACTTGTGTGGTGGACATCAGATAGATTGCGGCCCCCAAAGTTGATTTTTCTTCGAATTTGTGGGTTGGAAATTAGGGAACTAGCTGCTGTTGTTCAAGCTGGCAAAAGATCGATCGCAAATAAATAGATCCAGATGGTGGTTATGCACAGGACACCATGTGCTGTTAATACGAACTCCGATATGGTGCATGGCTCTTTATAAATCAATGCCATGCATGCAGAATCGTCTATAAACTTTTAATTCTATCCAACTGTTGGGGATTAGTAGAACTGTACATTGGCCATTGTAATACTAAAATTCCCGATGCTTTATACTTTTCAGGTTGGGTGTCGTTGAGTTTATACAGTCTCCTATATTAGGATTCTGGTAATTCATTATGTTTACCAGGCTGTGTGCAACAATCACGATATGTTCATTTCTCTTCGATATATCTATCGTGTATCTGCCAAATGTACTCCCCAACGTTTCCTCTGCCCCTTAGAAAGACAACTAGAGCTAGGGCCATTTGCAGTTGAATGTTGAGGCATTGTGGAAGCGAAGCATAGTGGTGATGTTTCGTATTTTGCCACCTGAAGTTTACTCATCTCTTGGTAGCTATTTCTAAGCCTGATTTTTTGCCACTTGCTTTGCACTACTGTAGTGAAGATACAATCTAGTTAAGTAGAGAAAACATTGCTCCTGTAATCGAGATTAAAGCTTTTATTGGTAGTGGGATGGGAAGAAATAGCGATGCATTCTTATAGTGCATCTATGAACTTTAACTTATTCTTTATTTTTCTCATATCATTACTGGATGAAATCATCACGTACAACATGACTTACACTGTGCCTATTAACTCAGAATGTATATAAGATATGGAAAAGTGTTTCAACTGTGTATATCCTCCTTCCCTATATTCCTTTATAAATATTGGTCTATCTAATATACTAGGTGTGCAGAAGTTGACTGTAACATAGCATTTTCTCCCAAAAATTTTTGTTTCACATTGTGGAGTTGGCATAAGTTGATAGTAACAAATTTTGAGTTGCGAGCCTATAGGGAGCCCAACTGGCGCACGGCTCGAAATTTGACAGATAATTGGTCTGTTGTAAAATTTGAACTGCTTGATTTGGATGAAGTTTGATTTGACGATGAAAATCTATTTGGACATAACTTTTCAAAACATATTTAACTTCTTTTTTGTTTTTGTTGAAAAAACATGAAATGTGACTTATACCCATAAGTTTTAAAAATTATCAAAAATACCCAACAATACCAAACAAACAAACTTGCTAATCCTGTATATGAAGAACTTTCATCAATGTTATTTATTATCATTATCACAAACCATAATCCCGAACATATATAAATTTGACACAAAATCACGTTTTTATAATGAACTACATATTACACTATCCTAAAACCATAACCGGATATTTTAATATCAACTCCTAATAACACAATTACTAACCGCTATAATTCGTCAAAAATACATGTGTAACACATCAGTTCAAAAGAAAATGATAGTAATTAGTTGGTGGATTAGTTGGATCATAATAGATGGTGATCTTTTTTATAAAACACAAAATTTTGGGGTAATTTTTAAAATTGTTAAAAAAATCAAAAGTCGTATTTTGGGCCAAAAATAGGTCTAGAGCTAGTTTTGGAATTTGAAAATTTGGTTTTCAAAATCTGCCAAAACATGGATAAAATCTATAAACAAAACATGTTCTGCCAATTTTTTTTTGGAAAAACTTGGCAAAATCTATGGCCAAACGGGGGCTAAATATCTTCTTTTTTTCCCACGGAAAAACTGACAGGCAGATCTCTTTTTGTGTAAAATAACAAAAATGCAAATCTGAAAGGCAGTTCCTCACCATAAACCTAGTGGAAGGACTCCACAAAGAGCTGTACTTGAAACAAAGGAATTCCTGCAATAGTTAGATGTTACACCAGCAGAGAAGCCACTTTTAAAAACTCTATTACTGTTGTGAACCATAACATTTTCGATACTAAAGCACACAGCTCTGTCTATTAAGAAATTGCTTTTAATATCACGGAGCAGTCAGAAAAATGCGGCTTAACTAAATCTTGAACATACATATCATCAGAGACTCTGGAATGTCAAATTTACTCTTCAGCACAAAGAAATAAGAAATGCTGGATACAACATCAATAGATCATGCATTAGGTTCTTCTATCTTGCCTCTACCTAAAAAACATCACAAGGCTGTTCCAAGCCAGAACATGACACTGCATTTTGCATTAAAAAGAAAGAATATAGCAAGCATAAATCAATTAATATTCTCAGGAGCGAAAAAGGAAGGGTTGAACGTTGAAGTATATATTAATTTAAACTAGAAAACAATAGTTGATTATACTATTTTGATATACTGTGTGGGGAAATATTATGTAATCTGGAAAGCAATACTCGGCCAAAAGAGGATTTGACTACACAATGCAGTAAGCATTTGAAGAAGATTCAAGTTTCATCAAGGAAACTTAACTCTTTTTGCACACAGTAAAGTTTCCCTATTTAGAGTGATATTGCCCTATTCATATCTCACATGTCACAACTCCGGCGTCCGAACTACAAATCTTTCCAATTGGTCGAGAATTAATAATTTGGCTCAGTGATGGATAAAGCTTTTTCTTCACAGCAAATGTCTAAAACTACAAGTCACTAGACTGCTTCAAGCTCGCGAATACAAAGGCAGCACCTTTCAGCTTACTCTAGAAGTTGGTAGAATCGATAGATCAAATTATGACATTCCAAGTATGAATTCATTGATTTGTACCCAAGGGTGTAACCTAGCAGTCGATGAAGTTAAAATGAAGATGATAGGAGACTACGTGAAATCTCAGTTCTGGCAGGAAAGTTTATGTGATTTTTTCCCATCAAGCTTAGTGTGGAAAAGTTATCCATCACCTACACTTATGGAAGGATGCAAGTTACCTAGTGGAATAGTCAAGGTGCATACAAGCTAGCCCGAACATCCCGTTATTCGAAACTTGTAATAAGAGCCAATTCATTTATCTACTAAGCCTTGGCGAAAAATCAAGCAAACTCCATCACATTTTCCACACAATCCTCCTCTTCCCACTCCCCAAAACATTAAAACAACTAATAAAAATCAAGAAGTTGATTAGGACATTCTATGCTAAGCAAAAGTGACACCTTTAAAAACTCACTTGCTGATGAATTACATTAATAATGGCGTCGAAAATTAATAATGGCTCAATGATGGATAAAACTTTTTCTACTCAGCAAATGTCTAAAACTACAAGTCACTAGAATGCTTCAAGCTTTCAAATACAAGGTCACCTTTCAGCTTACTCTAGAAGATGGTAGAATTGATAGATCTAATTATGACATTCTAAGTATGAAGTCATTGATCTGCACCCAAGGATGTACCTAGTCGATGAAGTTAAAATGAAGATTATAGGAGACTACGCCAAATCTCAGTTGTGACAAAAAAGCTTATGTGCTTTCTTCCCATCAAGCTTAGCATCACAAAGTTATCGGGTACTTATACTTATGAAAGGATGCAAGTACCTAGTGGCATAGTCACAAGTGCATACAAGCTATCCCGAACATCCCATTAATAATTTTTTTTAATAAGAGCCAATTTATTTATCAACTAAGCGTTGGCGCAATTCAAGCAAACTCCATTGCCTTTTTCACATAATCCTTCTCTCCCCACTCCACCCCAAAACATTAAAACAAATGAGTAATAGAAATCAGGAAGTTGATTAGGCATTCTATGCTAAGCAAAGGCGACACCTTTAAAGACTCACTTGCTGATGTACTACATTACAGTGCCCTGTATCTCATGCACTAGGTTATGCAACTCATTCACTGTAGAACCCCCAAAAAAAAGATACTTACATAGTACTTTTCTAGAAGGGGAGCCTTGGCGTAACTGGTAAAGTTGATGTCACGTGACCAGGAGGTCACGGGTTCGAGCCGTGGAAAGCCTCTAGCAGAAATGCAGGGTAAGGTTGCATACAATAGACCCTTGTGGTCCGGCCTTTCCCAGACCCCGGCATAGTGCACGAGCTGCCCTTTTATAGTACTTTTCTAATTTCACCAACCAAAACAGATTGATCAACAACAACAACAACTCAGTATAATCCCACAAGTGGGGTCTGGGGAGGGTAATATGTACGCAGACCTTACCTCTACCCCAAGGGGCAGAGAGGTTGTTTCCAGGAGACTCTTGGCTCAAGAAAGCAACAAGAAACGCTATATTAGTACTATCAATAGACTCATAATAAAATAACATAAAATACATAACATAACATAAAATACCATAAAATAACAAAATAACAGCAATATAAGAAATATAGAAAATACGAAAAAGATGTAAAGTATATTAATAACCAACAGATAAAGCCCATCATCAGTAGCTGATCACTAGCATCCTAAGACTAACTCCTAACTGGCTAGTCTCACTCTAGTGCGCTGTAGAAATATTCACAACTTACCCCTAACCTACAACCTTAATGCTCGACCTCCACAATTCCTTGTTAAGTGC